TCTTAGTTCCTCTATTATTAGCACTGATGAAGATCCGGGCTTACGGATCGAAAGCTTTGCAATAATAAATTTACGTGGTTTTTCCACAAACAAAACTATTATATTTTTTCGCCATGCAAACATACAAAGAACTTATTAGGAAAAATATAGCCCTGTGAAATGGACAAATTTTGAGTATTTTAGTATTACTCGCGGGAAAATGCACCATGCACTTTCGCCTCAGAAGTGGTGCATTTTTCCGCGCGTAATCCTAAAGAGGAAATGGTGTTTCGGGTCGACCAAGAATTGAAAATTTTCTTTCGTTTAATGCCCCAAGGTCTTGATGGGCCCCCCGTACCCCTCCTCTCTTGTTAATATTTTGGGGCTACCCATCGGAGTAAAATAACACAATCTCTTTTGTTGCAATGCATTTTATTTAGTATTCTACATCATACACAATTAGCGACAATACGTGTACATTGACTAATTTAAAACTCTATGACACACTTTTTCCATTATATTTCCAGTTTTCAACCTAAACAGAATGGAAAGCAAAAACGTTAACAAAGTGAACATGTAAATAGCATTAAGACAAAATCTAGGTATGTATAGGGTGTCCGAAATATATGTATGGTCCAGATTTTCACACAGCAGATTAATTAATGGGCACCTAGCCTCAATTCTTCTAACATCTCATTCCTAAGCACCTTTGAAATGATATTGTAACTTATTTTGAAGATTTTCGTTTGCACACTTTGTCTGTTAGTTATTTCAGTTTTATTGATATGCAAATGTCCCGAATTTACGAATAATGACTGATCAAAGAATGTAAGGTACTGTTAAACATCATGAAATAAAAAGCCTAAATGGTGTTTTACATAGGTATATGTAATCCTCCCACAACTCCAAACTTCATTTTAATGAATTCAGCTCGATAGTGAATACGATATACAAGCTTTGAGTCATTATGCATTTGTGACGTAAATTCCGGATATTTTGCATACCAAACAAACTGAAATATCTCTGAAACAAAGTGTGCAAACGAAAATCTTAAAAGTTCTTAAGAATTAAATGACAAAACAAATTGAGGTTAGGTGCACCTTAATGGGCATTGGCAATTCAATCGAAGAGGTGAGATACTTCCTTCTATATTGCCATCTGTCTGTCTCAAAAAATTAGGTGAAGCTTTGGTGGTGAGGTCTAAGATTTCAATAACCACTTATAGTAAAGTAGTGACCAGTTTGATGCCGATTTACTAGTACGGAATCTAGATCTGGTCCAGTAATGCAGAGGTTAAAAGGTCAGGACATTCATAGCTCTTCTACTCTTTCACATGCATCAGAAGAAGAAAAGTGTAAATGGGTTTTTATACTACTACATCTGCAACTGATATTAACCGTTTATAAGACAAACTTTGAGATTTTCAGACGCATGCAGTTCTTAGGGTTTTCGTCAGAAGTACAAAATGAAAATAATTAGAAGGGAACCTTTTTGGATGGGTTAGAATTGACTCAGTATGTTGATGGGGGAGAGGCCATTGAAAAATGTATATATGGGAGGGGGGGAGAGCTATTCAAAAGTATGCTTTGAAAATGCCAAATCCTCATAAGGCGCTTACGGATTAATTATGAACGCCCATTAGATGTAGTTACGCACGCATAACTTACCATTGTAATTTCGAGTTATGAAGGTTTTACCATAATAACCGCCTAATAACCCCAATAACCGTACTTTTTACCATGTCTGCGTCTGTTCCACCAGCCTTTGCCATACCCGCCTTTGCCATACCCGCCTTTGCCATACCGGCCTTTGCCATACCCGCCATAACTATGACCAGGATCTTCTTCGGTTTCGTCGCTGCAACGACAAAATGAGTTACCTGTGCTTAAAAGAACTATTAACTCGTTAATTGCCAATTCCAGCTTTTAATCGTGCACGCAGGGGGTGATGGGAAGTAAGGAACATGTTGCTGATTATGCTGAAACATTTAAATAAAAACTGCCGAAACAACCGAAATATTTCAATATTTACAAGCATAAGCTATCACTCCGTGTTAACACGGCCGTCATTTTTATTTTTTCAGCACAATCAGCAATATGATACCTTACTTCCCATCGTCCTCTGCGCACATAAACTAAAAGCTGGAATTGCCTATTCAGGCATGCGTAAATGCAACAGAGGAAGGCCAAAGCCCCGAGGATGAAAGTTGATGAGAGTTGGCAGTCATGCATTTTAAGCACCACGTGAACAAAACAAAGGTTTGATGATTTTCCAACTATATATTTTAACTTCAACAGAATACATGATAGTGTTGGGAAAGCATTAAGAACAGCTAACCAAGGCTGCATGCCTACCAATTCTCATGCACAGTCATCCTCGAGAACAATGTTAAGGGAAATGGGGAGGAGAGCTAAGATGGACAGAAGAATTTATGTTTCGAGCGATATTAGAGTCCTTAGATCTACAACGTCAATGTAACGACGACGGCTAATACAATGAAATTCATGATATTTGAGAAAAAAATGAATAATTTAATTAGCTTTCTCACGCCGCCATTTTTGAGGTACTGCATACCTTTTCCAAATCTGAGATTCTAGGCAGTGAATAAGGAATTTGTATTTCTATAATTGTCAGTATAATCATTATAAGTTAATTTATAGTTAAATATTTTAAAAAATGTTTTCACATCACTTAGAATTTTCACGTCGTTTTCAAAAATATACCCCCAAAATGGCGAATTTGGCTTTCATGAGAAAGGCCAATTAACATTCCACTTGACTTTGAAACGTGATCCACGGAAATAATAGATCTTTACGTCTAATAGCGCAGTACCACAGTAGAACGATCAACAACTATTTCAACCTCATCAAAATATATGAAACTCATACGATCAATAATTGTCATCAAACTTTCTTTACAATATCGTTTATCTGGATGACTTTATCCTGACCGTCGTCGTCGCGTTGCCGTCCTACACCCTAAGATCTCTATTATCCAAAACAACAACGAAATGGGAAGTTTAGTTTATTTTCGAGATATTTTGTAACCAGTATTACCAAACTGCGGATGTCTTTTTGCTTTTGTCATACTTTCACGTCATTAGGAATGGGACTACATTTTTAACGTCGTGAACTATGAACTTCGTGGAAATGGCGGTATCTGATTGGTCCGCGAGAAATTATGCTGACATGCATGCCTAAATAATGGTTTGACATTTCAGCTAAAAAAGTCGTAGGAATGTAGTCGAATGCCTGAATGTTTTGACAGGCAAAACACGGCATGATTTTTCTGGCGACAGAAAGCATCCGTAGTTGTGGCAGCCTCGTACCCAGGCGCAAATAACGTATTAAAAATAACAACACTACAGTGTTTTTATATAGATCAGTGGCTAAGATGAGCGAGCACGCGGGGGTGCTTGGGGAGGACAGGAAGGGGTTCTGCTTCGTTTCCCGCGTCTTCCCAAGCACCCCCGTGCGCTCGCTCATATTAGCCACTGATCGATATAGAAACACTGTAGTGTTGCTATTTTTAGTACGTTATTTGCGTCTGGGTACGAGGCTGTAGTTGTGGTAATATGCAAATCTATGTACCCCAAACACTACAAAAATACACATCGCAATATTGTTTTAAAATACACCCAATAGACCTTATGCATAATGACGTCACAAGGCTTGCTGCCCGCGAGGAATGCTGGTCTTAGTAGTCATCGCCCGGGAAAATTTCGATAGTCGCCATTTTGAATTGTTTAATTTTCCCGGACGATGACTACTAAGACCAGCATCCCTAGCGGGCATCAAGCCTTGTGATGTCATTATGCATAAGGTCTATTCAGAAATGCTTTCGTATTTTAGGTAGAAGAACGAAGACGGGTCAGACTGATTTATAAGCAGCTAGATAGGAGTATAACGAATTTGCATTCATACCCATATCCATATCCATATCCTTTCCCCCAACCACCATATCCTTTCCCGTAACCACCATATCCTTTCCCGTAACCACCATATCCACCATAACCATGACCTGGATCTTGTTCGATTTCGTCGCTGCAAAGATAGAATAAGTTATCAGCTGAGATGAGAGATGGTTGTTGGTGACAAAAAGTTTGATGCGGCGTGGTATGATAGGCGGTATGGGGGTCCTTGCCAGAAAAGTTTCGTATTTTTAAAACCATAGGACTGTATTACGTGCGTACATAGAGGATGTTACACGGCGGCGCAAAGATATGACTTTTATCGTCGAGTGGTGAAAAGAATGTTTTACGAACGAGCGTAGCGAGCGAGCAAAATATTGTTTTTAACACGGGAAGATAAGTCATATCCTCAAGGCACCGTGTAATGTTCTGTTTATTATATAGTCCCAAGCAAAAAATGTGAAATTTCACGCTCAAAAGCATATTGGAAAAAGTCACGTGATCGATACTTCACTAGTGAAGATATGGAGAATATCTCACTGTGTATTTTTCAGTATCTCACTTTCTACTATATAATAAATATATTTATTATTTTTTTAAAAAATTCCTGGTTTCTGATTGGTTAACAGCCAACTGTGAAATTGTCATATCAATTCAATGTCTAACCAAATACGGATTTTTCACATTCATATTAGCAAAATGACGTCAAAGAGTCAATATGAAAAAACCATGGACGCGTTTGCGCCATATTACTATGACGACGAGAATCATATTGACTCGCTGACGCCATTGATATGACGTGACGATGGCTAGCTGTCAAAGGACTAAGGATTGTTTTTTTCTTAATACAAACAAGACGCCTGCTCAGGCGTTAACACTGGCCTGAAAATGGCAACTTTCGTGGTAGGATGTAATGTGTAGCAGAGAAGTAGATAGGGATACAGGAGGTCTGGACCATATAAAAACAATCAATAAATACGAATTTTCTGCGTTGGTGTTACGTACTCAGGTGAATATATGATGTTTGTGATGTTACTCTGAGTGTATATCCACACCGGACAAGCTTGAAAAATATGCCTGACCACGGTCGGAATCGAACTTACGACCTTTGGAATACTAGCCCAATGCTCTGCCAACTGAGCTGCGCGGTCAGGTGCCAGCTCATTTAATGACATCACCGATGTAATTGAACAATCCAAAATAGTGAAATATACCGACGGTGTTGTTTTGTCCCCGACTCAACGGCGCGGAGCGCCGTTCCGGGCGTAAGCCCTGGGCGAGGGTACTAATTTCCCCGGGCTATTTACACCTGGGAAACCGAAAGCATTAGCGAAGTCTAAAGTTCATCAATGATCGCGGGCGTGACCAACGATCTTGAGTGGGTGGTCATCCTCACTGGAGTCACTGATCTCAAAAATATGGCTGATTGCTTGTAGGTGTGGGATAAGCAAGATTCCAGTTTTAAAAGACGTATATTTGGAAAATCGTTTCATATACAACAAGCTTGAAGCAATTTTGTTCGAAGAAATGAGAAGAATTGATTTACTCTGGGAAATCGTGAAATATACGGCAAGTTTGCTTTGAATATGTAATGTTTACGAATTTTGTTGCTTTAAATTTTTGCTTAAAAACATGTTTTCCTTTTCAACGAAAACTGTTTTCCTTTTCAACGAAACTCTAAGTTTCATAAATTACCGTTTAATTTGAGAAAAAAATCTTAAAATGTAAAGGAGAACAAATTCATTTGAAGACTGAACTGAAATTACCTAACAATTTGTTTTATTTGTATTAAACTTATTATGTTTTGTTAAGTAAAAACAGTTTATCGGCAAATGTAGTTTAGTTGAATGAACATTTCAAAACATTTTACGAAGCATATCAAGTTAAATTTTACATTAAGTCAAAGCTCACAAAATGCAAAATAATATACCTACACTGATATATTTCGGAAATTTATTGTTGCATAGTTAAAAGTACGAATCTTTCAGCCGTTTCGCTGTTTCTAAATGGGTACGTAGCCGGTATTTTAAATTTTCGAATGCGGGTAGTACCCATGCTACGTATATACCTGAGCATCGTAACCCCAACCCGACCCTAACCTCTAACCCCCAGAACCTAACCCCTAAAACCTAAAACCTAACTGACCCCTAAAGGGGTTTTGATTTGACAGTGGGTCAGAAATTCAAAAGTAGCTAAATAGGAATGTATATTTGCAGTCATACCCATATTTATGTTTGTATCCCCACCACCCTTTGCCATAACCTTTGCCATAACCTCCGTAACCGCCATAACCTCCATAACCTCCGTAACCTCCGTAACCTCCGTAACTACCAGGATCCTGTTCGGTTTCGTCGCTGCAAAAACAGAATATGTTACCAACAGGGCTATTTATAAGAATCGTCATTTGGGGAGGGGGGGGTCTACATAAAGGCCTAGGGACCATACTATGCTTAGTGTGGAGAGGTGAGAGATGGTCGTTGGTAACAAAAATATTGGTGCGGCGTAACCGGTGGGAAATTTGTCGTCGCTGACCAAAAAATCGCGGGCAGAAACAAAGTTCCATTGCATTACATTCAAAACAAAACAAAACAAAACAAGCTGTTTTAGCTGACGATTTTTTGCTTTCCATTCAACGATTTACAAATTAACGGTTATTCTTTTAAAAATCGATCATGAATTCTTTGTATTCTTTTTCAATATTTTTTGGTATGATGTTTTTGTAATGGAGTGATTGGAAGACTTGAATATGGCGACGTGAACATGGGAGCAAAATACCGTATAGGTCCAGCTATGGCTTGTTTAAAACCGTAATAAACGAAGAAAAACGTGATATGAGAATGAAATGTAAGTTGAAACTATTTATATGCCTCAAATTCTCCATCCTATGTTTCTTAATGTAACGTTAGCAGTCTAACTAGTTCAAAATACAAGCTCGCGAAATTTGACAAATTTTGAAAATATGTAACAATAGCACGCTTGGCATTTTTTCTTCAGAAACTTCCAGTTCGTTTTTGCTGTACAAGAAATTCTTTAATCTTCTTTCTTCTTCTACGATATTGTTATGAGCAGAACCGATGCGCAGAACGGACTTGACTTCCCCTTTAAGTAAAAACAGTTTATCGGCAAATGTAATTTAGCTGAATGAACATTTCAAAACATTTTACGAAGCGTTCCAAGTTAAATTTTATATTAAATCAAAGCTCACAAAATGCAAAATAATATACCTACACTGATATATTTCGGAAATTTATTGTTGTATAGTTAAAAGTACGAATCTTTCAACTATTTTGTAGTTTTGTACAAAAAATATGAAAAAATTAAAAATTTAAGAATATCTTGTTGTCATGGCAACACTCGAGCGCGAGCCTGCGTTCAGTGTTGGCCATTTCTGAATACCTCATGTTTATTTAATGTTTGGAAAATATTGGCGAGGGGTTTACTGCATGCATGTATTTCTAGTTAAGGTCTAAGGCGTTTACAACACAATGTTTATAGCATTTGTTTAAAAAAGCATTGAATCATTTGAAGATAAAAGACATGACATAAGATTCGGTTCAGTTACCAGAATGTATACAAGGTTCAGTTACCAGAATATCAAACCTCTCTTCTAAATACCATTTTTCGTCCAATTTTTTGCTTCTATTTCAGAGAAAAGTGACCTTGACTGGGGTGCCAAAATGGTTGAATGGGGGAGGGGAGGGGGGCACCCCAAGTGTTTGACAGTGGGTCAGAAATTCATAAGTAGCTAAATAGGAATGTATATTTGCATTCATACCCATATTTATGTTTGTATCCCCACCACCCTTTGCCATAACCTTTGCCGTAACCTCCGTAACCACCATAACCGCCATAACCTCCGTAACCATAACCACCAGGATCCTGTTCGGTTTCGTCGCTGCAAAAACAGAATATGTTACCAACAGAGCCTTTTATAAGAATCGTCATTTGGGGGGGAGGGGGCATCTACATAAAGGCTTAGGGACTATACTATGCTAAGTGCGGAGAGCCCAGGAGAGGTGAGAGATTGTCGTTGGTAACAAAAATATTGGTGCGGCGTAACAGGTGGGAAATTTGTCGTCGCTGACCAAAAAATCGCGGGCAGAAACAAAGTTCCATTGCATTACATTCAAAATAAAACAAAACAAGCTGTTTTAGCTGACGATTTTTTGCTTTCCATTCAACGATCTACAAATTAACGGTTATTCTTTTAAAAATCGATCATGAATTCTTTGTATTGTTTTTCAATATTTTTTGGTATGATTTTTTTGTAATGGAGTGATTGGAAGACGTGAATATGGCGACGTGAACATGGGAGCAAAATACCGTATACGTAGAGCTATGGCTTGTTTAAAACCGTAATAAACGAAGAAAAACGTGATATGAGAATGAAATGTAAGTTGAAATTTTTTATATGCCTCAAATTCTCCATCCTATGCTTCTTAATGTAACTTTAGCAGTCTAACTAGTTCAAAATACAAGCTCGCGAAATTTGACAAATTTTGAAAATATGTAAAAATAACTTGAATTTTCTTAAAAATAGCCCGTGGCCTCAATTTCAAATATAGCTAAATGAAAAGAAAAACTTTTACGGCGTTTGTAGGTATCAAACATATCGTCAGGAAAATAGGGGCTGGCAATGTTTTAGCTAAGTCTTTGAGACCCAGTTGCTTCGCTCGTGTTGTGGTCAAATTGTTGCCAAGAATCAAAGGCCGAAAGATGAACTTCCTTCATGAAAACCGCCTCGAGAAGGGTCTAGTTTGAAAATGTTGGTCACAATTTCCATTTCATGGGCATATTTTGGTTACACGTTAATTAAATATTTTTGTACTTGATGAGATTCAAATTTGTTGTATATTCAAACGCGGCTTCAGTGTAATTTTGGTGATGACCGGAAAAGAAATGAAGATATTTTAAAAACTAAAAACTGGCCGTGGCCTCACGATAAAACTCTCTGAAAATATTCGCGTAAAATAAGCGTAAAAATAGGGGCTCATACAGTTTACGAGGTTATAAAATGCATGACTTGTCTCTGTTTTCATGTAAACATTCGAAATGTTTCGACAGCAAAGTAGCAACTGTTTCAGATCGAATGCACACGGACAGCACACCAGGGACAATGGCATGCGGGGTACTGAAATAGAACGTTACTAAAAAATTATGTATGATTAATTTAGATCTTGTCCATTTTCAACTTAAAACAGTCATTTATTTTGTGCCAAACGTTTGGCAATATTTACACAATTGTGCCTTTTTGTAAACACGCGTTGCGTGTAATCCACGGAATTGCGTGGCTCATTTTGCTTGCGCATGCTCAGACATATGTCATGTATAGCAGGGGTTCTGGCTGGTCTCCCCCAGAAAATGTTCATATTTTTTCAACTCCAGGATTTCATATTTTTTCAACTTCGACGGGTGGGGGGGGATACACGCAAGGACTATGCTATACTTGACAAAAAGTTTGGTGCAGCGTGATATGGTAGAGGGGTCCAACCATATCGGACTACATTTCGTGTGTTTTCTGAAACAGGTTTTTTTGTATACACTAATGCAGTGTTATATTATACTTTAGATAGGCTGAATCTTCCGCTAATCTCGTGCATGGTATGTTCATGTAAATACTTCACCTCGGTAATTAACTTGTTTAGCCTAGCCTTCAGCAACTCAAATGTACCGGGTTTGAGACACTGTATGCTAATTTTTAAAATACAAAGTATTTACAACACAGTGTTTATTAGCCTTTTTAATAAAACATTGAATCAATTTAAGATAAAAGACATGGCAAAAGATTTACAAAGCAAGGGTCAGGTACTATATATAGTAGGTTCGAACCTCCCCTCAAAATTCCATTTTTCCTCCAATGTTTTGCTTATATTTTAGAGAAAATTAAGGGACCTTGACTGAGGGTACGTCAAAATGGTTGACTGGAGAGGGTAGCCATCTTGTCTCAAGTTTCTAGCAATGGATCAGAATTCATAAGCAGCTAGATAAAAATCTATAACGAATTTGCATTCATATCCATACCCATAATGATGCTTGCGATATTTGCGGCCCCATCCTTTGCGACGTCTTCGGTAACCAGGATCTTCTTCGGTATTTGCGCTGCAAAGACAAAGTATGTTACCAGTGGATCTAAGAAATATTCACTCATTCAAAGCATATGCGAATGCAACAGGGAAATGATAACTTTAGAATTATATTTTCGATTGTTGTAATTAGTATGCAGTACCCGAAACACCACAAAGAAAGCTTTTCGCCTTTCTTTGAAATACACTCAATAATTAAGAAATGGATTCGTTTTTTAGAAAACGTGACTAAAATCAACTCTTCTTAGTTGGTAGTTTTCGTTTATTGATGTGATATTGGGGCGAGGCGATACCAGGCTTATTGCTTGAGGGACGATATCATAAATGTCACGAATGAGCATAGCGAAGGAGCCACGTTTATGATATCGTCCTGAAAGCGCTAAAACTGATGTCGCCTCATCCCGATTATGATAACCGGTTTATCACGTACCTGTGCCTTTATCAGGGCCAGCATTTGTTGGAATATTATAATCATTGTCCCAATGCAACAATTATTAAAATAGCTAGCGGTACAAAAAGCGATATCAGTGACAAAAAGCTATATCAGTGACATATCGTTTTTACATCACCCTGTTATCACCTTGATAAAGGCATCAGTGTGTGATAAATAATCGTATCAACATCAAAAATCATATCAGCAAAAACATTAGTATCTCTGTTTGGGAATGAGAACTTGTCTCTGGTCGTATATTTATTTTTCACAAACTTTCGACTGCTAAACTGCAGTTTTTGAGGTCAGTGCTATCTAACGAAACCGAATTAGGCTGGTGCAGATAACATTGGCCAAGGTCTGAAGCATGAATAGATATCATCTGTAAGGCAAATCCGATCATTGTTTTATTATTCTTTCTGTGACACAAGCGAATGAAACAAAAACAAAATTTGAAAAGCAACCAAAATTTATCAAATTTTCAATAAAAAAGCAGTTCAACGAAAAATTTCCCCGCTTATTTGTTCACTCAAACACGGCAGGAATATCTCGGGTTCCATCAAATAATGCTGCCGCTGAAAATACCAATAATTGTCCGTAGGCTTTGTCTAATGAGAAAACGAGCACAAACTACAATCAATCATAAATTGAAAATATTTGTCACATCGACCTCCGATAGTCCTCGCGAAAATAGATTTTGTTGTTGTGTTCAAACTTAAGCCCAAGAAATGAGTTTTTTTCTTATTTGAAAAAAGTTATTATTTACTATACGCGCGAAAGCCCTTTCTTTGTTAAGCCACTCTTTCCAATTAACCCCCCGGAGGAGTAACAAATGATCTACAGAACTTACGTTTCATCTTCAGCATTTTCGTCAGTTTCTAAAAGAACAAAAAAGTTTAAATACGTAAAGGCCTGATTCCACGGGCGCTTTCTCGCTTTTTCTGTTTCTTTTGAATTGCGACCACTCGAATAAATTATTTCTACTTGATTGCACACAATTCAAAAGAAACAGACGAAATATTTGGCATTTCGCCGAGAAAAAGCGCCCTTGGAATCAGGCCTTTACAAACGTATGACTTACCAAATGGGTGAATTTTCTTACATTTAATCCGATTAATTGTATACTAAATTTTATTAAATATATATTATTATAACAATACTCTTTTTATCCTACCACACATATAGTATAGTATAGTATAAGTCTTTTTTGACAATTTAACTCAACCGATTGAAAAAGTTTTTAATTGACTTGTTAACGTTTGCAACATATACATGCAATAAATAATGGCTAAATTAAAATAATTTAATCATTTAAAAGAAAATTCATCATTTAAACTACGCATGATCAGTTTCAGAACCAGTAGGAGCTAGGTGGGTTTTGCCCTCCAATAGTAAAAACCCCCACCAAAAAATCAATTGGAGAACTTAATATGACAGTGTCAGACTCTTCCCTGACTGAAAGGCAAAGTGAACAAATTGGCATATGGTTTCTGCACGTTAAATCGTTCATTTCATAAATTCTAAATTTCATTATCTTCCGGAGAGAATACCCACGACTTCTCAAGATTTGTTTCTAGCTCCGTCAGCCAAACCTGATCGTCCGCCGCCTATATGCTAAGCGTAAACAAATTTGGTTACCGTCCATTAATTCATCTTCATCTTGTTCGATTGGTAATGAATACGCCACTGCACACAGCAGACCAAGGGCGAGGAAGAAATACGTTGTCTTCATTTCTGAATCTGTCTTTCTGTTGTGTTCTCACTTGACTTCTCAAATGATGCTGAAGCTTTGGTTTTCACCACTTTTATACTCGCTGTTTATGCTAATTTACTGATTAGTCATTTTTCCCAATATTCTCTCATTAGCATCAAGTACTATGCTAAATTGATTTGTTGTAATATTTCTTTCTTAGTACAAGTGCAATTTCTAACTGTGTTGTACTTGATTTAATATGTATTTATTAAGTGCCATGATGAGCCACTCAAAATAAGAAAGTAATCAATATCGCACAAGTATATTGTAACAGTTTCCGCTATGAGCCCTTGAGTAAATATAACTTTTTGTGTGTTCTTTGTAAAAGACATTGCTCAACATATGCAAATAAACTCTTTTTTCTAATGTGTAATTTTGTATTCGACCGAATTATCAATCCAATAAAAGATTGACGTACTAGATCGAGTACTGATTTAATGCCCTCCACGAAGTTGGTGCTAGAAGGTATCTAAGTGGAAAAAAATATGTGAAGAACCCCCAAAATTTACAGTTATAACTTGCACGATCGGATCTGTAATTTTTCAGGGATAAACCGTTTAGCGCAGATTCGAAGTGACGTGTTAAATGACTGAAAGCATTCTTTCGCGGGGACTCTCAAAAAGTTTAATATGTGATTTTATACATGTGAAACTGGCCTAATTCCAGATATGAAATTCCCATCTTAAAATTCATATTACACATACGTCAATCTTCATTTTCGTGAATGTATGAAGCATGTGATTCACATTGTGTAATTATGAAGCATTTTATGGCAGGTAAAATGTTCCAATTCGGCTAATAATTAAAGATGTAAAATAAATTATAGGAAATTTTCATAAAGTGTATGTATTTAGAGGTTTAAAGTCGACAAGCAGACCTGTTTCTGTACTGAGAATTTCCTAAGTCCACAAAATACTGAATGACTTCTGATCTCTAATACGGAAAAGTAGTCGAAAAAGCAATGAAACTTTACAAAATGGCTTATTTCATCCTCAAAAGACTATTTAATTTATCCTTCAGTTATAAAAACATCCATTCAAATATTTATATAAACCTATATGTTATCCGATCATATCATTCTGAAAATTATTACTGTTACTATTGTTCATTCAAATAGTTATCGTGATTTATAATCAACGATTGAATACAGCAATTTCAGGTTTAGCTGTGACATATGCACTGCTCTCAAAATCACGTGACAATAAGTATCCAAGGAAATTGAGAAATACCCTGAAAACAATCTCGTTGCTGTAGTACATTATAAATCCTGTTATTGGTCTCTTATTCGTGATTTTTTTATATAAAAAGTGGTAAATAGTTGCTACGAGTTACTGCTAGGAACTATTCTAGCATATACACTTCTTGACCCACTGTGTGCAATATTATTAAAATAACTCCAATTTTTGGTCTAGTTGAATTTAGGAAGACTCTTTATAAACAAGCTGTTGGATGTTTGCTTTGCATTTTAGATTAGCGTAAGGTTAACTTATTGGCTTTTGAACTACTAGCTCCAGATATAATATATCGGATTCAGTTTTATAGATTGTTTAAAAATTTGACACCGTTTCCCAGATCGTAATTTGGTTTCTGTAATTCCTATGTCACAATGCATACTGTGGTAGACAAACAAACGCAATATTTGTATATCTTTTTTAAATTAAAAAGCTTAAATGCACTGAAATAACATCTTGAACACAATTATTTCGTATCAGTTGCAAATATTAACTAAATATACTTTAGCGTACACAAACACACACCATAGACGGATAGCGCAATTTAAAAATAAATCTAGAAGTCCAGCAATAACTTTCAAACATGTATAAGACATAACAAATAAAGAATAACATTTATTTGATGACGTTTTGTTGTATGAAACATAAGAGTATGCTTCACATAATATTAGTCCTTTTATAATTATAGCACTTATGGAGTATATTACTGAATTTCTTGAGCTATGAAGAAGATGTGGTCATGTATACAACGAAACGCCAGGAAATAAATCTTATTCTTTATTCTAATGTCCTGTTTAGAAAATCATATGCTGGACTTTTGTATTTATCTTTAAATTGACTTCACTGTTTATGCACTTTTTCCCCAATAGCCTCCTTTCCATGATTGCCAGTTTTAACCTGACAGACCCACTTAAATGTTATGTCCCCATGTTTTGTGCTTAAATTCAACAATATAACCCCCGACTCTATTGTGTACGAAACATGAACAGTTGACAACATGAAAATGTGGGCAAATTGTAAATATAAAGTTACCAGTCAACTTTCTTTTTCCTTAAGATTGCATGTCCTCGTATACAAATAATGATGATGTGAATTTGTTATGTTTATAAAATTTGTAATATTGTTGTATCTTATAGATAACTATAATAGTTATTAAATACAAAACTATAGTAACTCCGAAAATCGTAAACATTTTGAAAAATCTTTATTCGACGTTTCGATAAGATTTTGGTCATCAGGAATCGTGAAATTACTACATTGTACAAGTGAGAAATATGAGAAGTTCTATAAAAGGTCATTAGTTAAATATTATAAGTTGTTTAAAAGCTGTAGTTCCGTGATTATAAGGGTAGGTTTCAATCTGCGTATATCGCAAGCGATTCTTTGAATAGTAATAAAGACCAGTGGTCAGCTATATCGAATATTGCAATTATACTGAAACGAAAATCATAATATTCATGTTATATTAGAAATTCGTGTGGTGTTATAATTCCAACAATGATATTAAGTAATGACCTTATATATATACTTGTCATATTACATCACTTGTATACCTACGATATGTGGTAATTGCACATTCCTGATGATGGCTAAAATCTAGTCGAAATGTCGAATAAACACTTTTCAAAATGTTTACCGTTTTTGGAGTGACTATTGTGTGTTGTATAATTCGATCAAAATATTCAGTGGTTCCCTCATATGGAGTATTACTTCTAGTATACTTTTAAACTACCTATCTCGTGTTTGGGGATTTTGCATAATTATTTGCGATATTTAGAACTTTCCTCTCCCATAGTACTTTGATTAAAAAAAACTCGAGCAAAATAATGCAAACTCGAGCAAATTTATGAGCTAATTTACTCAATGTTTGGGGTACGTAAAATTTCAAATTCCCTCAAAGTTTTGAGTTTTAAGATTTACTTTACTAAAAATGGATAAATTTGCTGATAGGCCTACTTTTGAGAAATTTCCCTCAATATGTAGAGTCACTACATGTGCATGGCCTGGGTGCATTAATTTACTCACGTTTTTAATCAAAATGTTTTGCAGTGTAAGAAGAAATCCAACACATCTTCTTTGAAAAAAGCTTCATTCTCATGACTGCTAAAAATATAACTATAGGCAGTGCAAATCAGTTTCCGTGTCTTTTTTGACACTAAAATACGCTAAAATATAATATCAGCGAAGGTGTCCCAAGGGCGGGGTGGGGGAATGTCTGTTTTTTCCCGTTCCCTTGGAAACTTTTCGTTTGTTCCCTTGCTCGCCACAAAGATTACACAACGTTCCCTTTTCACAGCTTATGTTTCCAGCTTGTTCCCTATTATTTTTTGGCTTTGGGCCCTGTATTTCCATTGAAAAGTTTGCCTTGTTCCTAGCTTGTTCCCTTGTTCTCTGGAAACCCCTGCATTTGAGACTCTAATTGACAGCCACAAAGATTATACTGTACAGATGGATTTTTTTAAGACGAAGTATTTAATTCAGTTTTAGAATATTCTGTATATCGCAAATATGTAAAATTCCAAATCATAATATATAGACACTTTAATAAGTCAATTTTTTATTACGAACGTCATACTAATAAAAAAAAAAAACTTTATTGAAGCGATTTTAATTTGTGGGTTGCATCTAACTAGTTTAATTTACTTCTCGATTCTGCGTGGCCATGCAGTTTCCTTAATTTATGTGTAAAAGTATTTGATAAAATCTTTAAAGTTTTATTGGCACATGTGAAAATGCATACACCCCTTCATAAACTTAACGAAAGTTAGGATTTGTATATGAAAATAATTTATTAGTTATCATTATATTTCATATATGAAAAGACATTTTCACATGTGAAACAAACGTAATTTTTTGTAGGTTGCATCGTGATTAAAGCTATATAAAATGGATTGTTGTAATTGTCAAACTTTTGTATAATTATACGAATGAAATAGAATTAGAATAAATCATGTATAGACATGTCGACACTTGTTCGCCAATAATTTTATTATTTTTTAAAATGTTTTCTCCCAATGTCCAAGACTACATGTCAAAACAATTAAGATAGTATTTATAGCTACAATACGAAATGATAGAACTAGATACCCACTATAGAGACTCACTATATACCTTATTCATAAATCGTGACGAGGCCTCGTATCCTAGGATACGGGAACAAAACGCGGGAAAACAAGCGAAAACTGCTTGACAAGCCAAATTCAGATGCTATTGTGTCGACTTTAACGGCTTGTTTCTTGTTGCTTTTTGCGATTTATAACGATTTTTGTGTGTATTTTAAGACTTTGTGCCTACAACGAAAGCGGTAAACGAGTATATTATAAAAGCGACCGGTTTTTCTCCCATTTTTGTGTGGAAAAAATGACAACGTAGCGATTGTGTTTATCCAGAAGCGAAAAACAGTATTTTACTGAGATTTTATTGTCAATATAAAGGTTATTCCGTGAAAAATCAAGACAACTATGGAATGAAAGTATAATTTTTCAAATTTGACAGTAATATAAAAGAAAACAACAGGTCAAAAATCACAGCGAACGTCAAATGTTATTGATTCGTACGGAAAAATATGAACTATGGCTGTGGCTCGATAACATTCTGCAAGCAGCTTACAAGTTTAAAAAATGAAGGCTACATTACCTGAGTGAGTTGTAATCCTGTTTCGTCAACAATAGTTTCATATTTCTTACGATGTTGGTGTTGTATAGACGTTTTGTAGCCTTGTTGGTTGTTTGTTTTGCCCATACAAACTTGGCAATATAAATACAAAGTCAAGGTTTCCTTTTT